AATATATATATATATATATATATATATATATTATTAGTGACTTCAAAGATTAAAATAATATTTTTAAAAATACAGGACTAAAAATAAAAATTTTAAAATTTGAAAGATTAAAAATAAATTTATCCTAAATTTAAATGATAAAAAATAAAGTTAAGCTTAAAATTTACTATAATTTTAACCTATAAAAAATATTTACAAGTATATGATGCTAATTTATCACTGAAATTAATTATCATATTATGTTAATATATTAATTAACTATTAGTTGACATAAAAATGATCTTAATTAGAAATGTGGTGACTGGATATCCACGTTGAAAACTTTGTTTACATTGTAAAGTGCCTTCTAGATGTGTCGGTATTGAAGGAAATTTTACTAGAATAATTGGTAGCAACGGACAAAAATTTAATTAAAATAAAAGGCAGACACCCCGGATGTGGTCCCCCTGAGAGTGAAGATAAAAACAAATAACAGTAGCGCAAGACGGAAACTTCATGACAAATTCATGAATCACGCAAAAGAATTAAGGGTTTTTCATAATGAAAATATTTTTTAATTATTATAAACGTAACTTTATTAAACTTTAATGTTTCAATTTTCTTCTTTCTGTTAGTTAGTTTTTTTTTTTTTTACTTTTATAAACTTTTCCTTAAAAAAAAGAGACATTTTTAAATTTTAAAGTTTCAATAGGAAATAAAATCATGTTTATCTATAGAAAATTGTTAAGGAGTGTCTGAAAATACTGGATAAAGAATAAAAAAATAGAAAATTACACATGTTCTTTCTTGCAATTTTATTATATTTTTGAATGATTTTTTTATTTTTACATAATAATCCCATAACCAATATTTTAAATAAGACCTACCATTAATAAAAGTTTCTTTTTCCTAGTACACACATTTTTATTATATCATTTTATTCTTAATATTATAAGTGACTTTTTTATTTAAATTTTTCTTATTTTTTATTTGAATAAAATACATATAAATATAAAATATCATTTTTTTATTAGTTTGAATAAGGTTAAATTGTATTTTTAATTTCTTTATAATATTTAATATGTAATTTTGGTTTCCAAATTATTAATTTTATAGTTTTATTCTTAATTTTATAAAATTTATAGTTTTGATTTTCTTACATAAACATTAAGTACTACTTTTGTATCATAATAAGGTCGAGTTAAAATAAAAATAAAAAAGTTTAATAATAATATACTTTACACAGTTATTTAAACATAATTTATTATAAATAATAAATTTGTTAATTTTTATAATAATTATTTTAAAAATTATACAAACTGCGATTTTTAATTGATTGACTATGTAGAATATTTTGTACTAATGGCTATTAAATTATAAAAAAAATAAGTCTTATGTTAATTTCATATTATAATATTAATTATTTATTTTTTATTTATATCTTTAATAATTATTTAAAAATTATTATGTTGTATTATTTTTAATAAAAAAACATCATAAGAATAATTTTGTAAAATCAATATTTTTTCACCTATTTATTATTTTTTCTTAATCAATATATAATAATTTATGATGAAATTTATTATAAGAAAGAAAAAGTAAGTGATATATATATTAATGTCTAATAGTATTTAGATTAAATTACATTTGTAGTTCCAATTTATTAAAATAGAAATTTAATTTAAATATGACTAAATTTTAATGACTAGAGAGTTAAAATTACTTAAAAAATTGAGAGTCTAAAAGTAAAAAATAAAAAATAAAAAATTGAAAGAGCAAAATTCTAAGTTTATCCTATAAATAAAAAGGTTAGAAGAAAGAAAGGACATATGACAAAGAGGAACAGTTGCTTCCCCTAAGCTTAACTTCTTTCATTCCACACAACAAACACATATCCACAACAGCTTCTTTCTCCCAAAAGATGAATAGCGGAGAGGAAAATAGGAAAGCCAAGAAAGCAAAGGTGAGCGACGACTCAGAGCGTGAGAAGAGCGTGTACCTTGACGACAACGTTTTGTTTGAGGTGCTGAAGCACGTGGACTCGCGGTCGTTGGCTGTGGCTGGCTGCGTGAGCAAGCAGTGGAACAAAACCGCGCAGGACGAGAGGCTGTGGGAGCTGATATGCACAAGGCAGTGGGCAAACACCGGGTGCGGGGAGCAACAGCTAAGATCTGTGGTCCTCGCTCTCGGAGGCTTCCGTCGCCTCTACGCGCTCTACCTCTGGCCACTCTCCAAGCCCCACGCGCCTTCCACCTCTTGGCCCGCAATCCCGCACGTGCTCAGGTCCAAACCACGTTGGGGCAAAGACGAGGTTCATCTCTCCCTCTCCCTCCTCTCCATTCGATTCTACGAGAAGATGAATTCTCGTAAAGCCAAAAACACATGACTCTCCTATGTTTTTCTTGTTCTATTTCCTTTGCTTTGGTTTCTGCAACTTTTTTTTTTAATTTCGGTTGCCAGATCTGAAATTTTAATTAAGTATTAACGCAATTAAGCTAAGCTGGTTGTGTGATTTGAGAAATGAATTATCATATTTATGGTGTATTGCTACAGTTTGTAAAACGTTGGATCGATTGATCAAATTAAATGACCATGTGTGGATGTGTATGTGTTGTGATTGAATTGAATTTGCCTATTTTGTGTGGTTTGAAGAATGAGGTAGCGTTTGGATGTGGGTGGAAGCGTGTGATTGGGGGGTTGTGCCAGGGTACAAAAGAAAAGGGGCTTTGTTGTAATAAATGTCTGGTTCTGCAAAAGCCAATTTTATTTTATTTTTTTAATCAAGGGACGAGGTTTGTCGCATCTGTGCGAACTATTGTGTGTGTGTTCCGTAGACTGAACTCAAGCCACTGGCCTAGGCCTTGTCTTTGGACAAGGAATTGACCGTTTTGGACGAATACCAAGTTTTTCTTCTTACCCACTTTCCTTTCTATTTCTTTTTTGGGTTGATTTTTCTGATTCACTTATCAACTAGTTAGTTGCTTATGTTTAGACTTTTGATTACAAAGCAAAGGTGAACAAAAGAAAGAGGAAAACAATGTTACAAGAAATTATGATGATAGTTTTGTCAGTTCTGTGCTATTTACTTGAAAACAAAAAAAAAAAAATCATATTTTTTGGTTGCATTGTAACTTGTACTTACGAATGAGATAGTGAAATATAATTTGACATTTTTAAAGTTTAATCTGAGTTATTAAATAAACAAAATAATTTAATTTTTTTAAAATTTATTATTTAAAAAAATTATATTATCAAAAATATAAATAAATAAATAAATTTATACAACTGAAAGAATTATTAATATTTTTTTATCATTTTATTTAAACATTTATATATGACTGTACGTCATTGCACATGAATATACAATTTTTTTAATAGAAAATGATCTCTTTGTAACATTATATATGTATCCTTTTATGTAACCAATATTTTTTTTTAGTTTGTTACCATAATTATTTTTATTTATTAAAATAAGAATGAGCTATTTAAAATATGTCCAATGAGATATAGGAAATAGGAGTGGTTATTTAATTTGTTAGTTTTTTTAAAATTTATGTTTATTAACATAATTAAATTTAAAAGGTTAAAGTTAGATTTATAAAAAAATAATATAATAAATAATAAGTCAATTTTATACTTAATTTTGTAGAATATACATATTCAAAGTCTGATTTGACCTGTTATATTTTTATCCCTGCTTATAACTTCTATTATAATTATGAAAGATAAAAGATTGTAGGTTTTTTTGAAGATAAAATTTAAATGTAATTTTTTAAGTGTGTTTGATATTTTTTTAAATTAGAATTGAAATTCTATTTTGATAAATTTTGATAACTTATTATATATTTATTTACTTTTATAAACTAATTCAAACATTTATTACATGCATTCAAATTATTTATTTATTTATTTAAATAACCTGGGCCCAAGATTATTTATGCAAATAACTCATTTTTTAGGCCCAGGTGAGAAATTGGTTGCTGGGTAACCGATTTTTCAAAGAAATTTTTAAAAAAAATTTTAAAATCCCTTTGAGAAATCGGTTACCCATTAACCGATTTCTCACTTGGGCTTTTTTTATTTGCCCTTTTTTTGATATTTTTTTTCTTCAGATTTGTTATTTTTTTTTCTTTTTCAGTTTTTAATATTTAGATAAAAAAAGTATAATAAATATTTAAAAAATTTATTTAGTTTTTGTTTTTAGATTATAAAAATCTATTTAAAATAATTTTTAAATAATAAAATTTAATAAAATTAATTTTAAAATGATATTTAAATAAATGATAATATTATAATAAATCACAACTTTAAATAAAAATAACTTTAATTGAAATGAACAACTTTAAATAAAAACAAAATAACAACAATAAAATAGGAGATCGAATAAAAAAGAACAACAATAGAATTAGAATAAAAAAGAACAACAATAGAATTACAATTCACAAAATTACAATCCAACTTTAATGATGTCTATGCCCACCAGTTCCACACCTCGGAGGTTGTCGGTTCCTTGTTGGGTTTCGACGACCAATTCATGGTTGTTGTGGTTCAACTTGCTCCTCATCATGTTCTATATTAACAGTATCGGTGGCTGGATTTGACGAATCACTTCCACCGACCTTAAAGTGATAAGAAGAAAATGAGGAAAAATTCATGCTTTGCATGTAATTATATGCACTTTGTGGCGTGTGTACGTCGACGCCGAAAAGATTGCTCATGAAGTCTCCTGTTGGAGTTGTTGTTGATGGTGGGGTGTACATGAATTGTTCATAGTGTGTATGAAATGGTGGATTAGACTGGGGATGTTGTTCCACACTATAAGGTGGGTGGTTATCTCCAGCCACTGGGAATGTTGTTCCTATAGTTGTTGGGAGTTGTGTACTAGAAGTGGATCCATGAGATGAAGAATATTGGCTACAAAGAAATAATTTAGAATTAGTACGAAATCATTGTAAATACTCAAGAGTGTGTTGGAGAGACCCTTGAAGTGGTTCCCAAAAAATAACATGTTTGCATCTATCTTTCCAAATGAAAATCTAGTTTGCATGTTGTTCAGCCCAGTTGGTGTCGCTATATCCTCTCATGTCTATTTCGTGCATTTTATCAAGATTATGAGCTTCATTGGGGATTGGTTGCTATAAGCTAAATTGTAATTGGACTTTGTCAGTTTGATGTCAGACTACAACTGCAAATGAAGTTAAAGTAGTACAAGAAGTCTATATTATAGAATCCTTATAAGCACGTGATGACAGTGAGGACAAAAATTCCCTATATGGCAGCCATAGAAACTGAAAAAGAAAAAGGTTTAGGGTATGAATCAATTGAGTATAAGAGATTATGTTTGACAGAATTTTACACTGTTATGGTTCATGTTGTCATATCTTAATCTGTAGCCAAGTAAGTCTTCATGGGACGTGCCTGTAAATCTTAGCCCTCTTCCTAACCACCTAAAACATTTGTACATTGATAAAATTTTAGGTAAAAAATTTTAGTTGTTCGATGTATTAAAGTGGTATAAAAATTAATCCATACCTTGATGCTAGCAGAAATGTAATATCCTGTTGGACTGTTGGTTGGATGAAGGGCATGCGATACCAAGCCCAATACTCTAGAAGCAAAGAACATCCACCCATTTTCTTTGACGATGGATAAATTGTCGTAGACATTTCTCTATACAAAAGTGCCAAACAAGAAGAACCCCAACTATATCATCCTGCACATTCCAAGTCAGCCAACAGTAGTAAATACATTAAGTGAATTTTATTACCTGACTTGTTTGGCATAATGACACCACCGATCAACCTTAAGATATATGCCCTACAATGTTGGTGCAATTATTGTTCAGTGGGTTCATCTGGTAGTGCAATTGTATGGTCTCTTAACCATTTTAGTTTTATGCTTGAGCCAACTAGAGCTTCACCTTTTGGAGGTACGAAGCCTAACAACTCGTAACACAATTCATCCTAGTCAAAGAAAGTTGGGCCTATGACTAGTTTGCCATCGATCCTTAAACCCAATTGTAGTGCCACATCTTCCAAAGTGACCGTGCACTCACCAACTGGGAGGTGAAAAGTATGTGTCTCAGGTCTCCACCTCTCCACCAAAGACGTTATCAAACAATCATCGATTTTAAAATGTCTTATTTTCGCAACCTCGCCAAAGCCATCAACCTCCAACAAATGCTCAATTCTTAGGTCAAGTGTAGGCATGAAATGATAGTAAGATTAAATCACTTGATCACTTATTGCCTGCGAAAATGGTAGAATTTAAATGTTAGTAATGAATAATATTAGTTGTAAACATTACGCAATATATATTAACTTACCATCATTTGAGTTTCATTTGACCTATGGAGGTGTTGTTTCCATAACATAGTTGAAGATGAAGAAGACATTCTTGAAAAACAATAGCAATGAAATTGAAGAGTGCAATAGCTGAAGAGAATTGATCTTTTGTTGTGTGTTTAGGGTTGGATCGTATGTAGTGTATATATAGTGCAAAAAAATTGAATTAGTTTGTCTCATTGCGTAAGGAATCCAATGATTTTGTGCAGAGTGTCATCAATTGCTTTGTCCTAGAGCGTCAGAAAAATCAATGCTTTATGCAGAGTGTCATTTCCTTGGTCCAAGAACGTCAGAAAAATTAATGACTTTGTGTAGAGTGTCATCAATTGCTTTGTCCTAGAACGTCAGAAAAATCAATGCTTTATGCAGAGTCATCAATTGCTTTGTCCTAGAGCGTCAGACAAATTAATGACTTTGGGTAGAGTGTCATTGTCGTGGTCCTTGAGCGTTAGAAAAATCAATGCTTTGTGTAGTGTCATCAATTGCTTTGTCCCAGAACGTTAGAAAAATTAATGACTTTGTGCATAGTGTCATTGCCTTGGTCCTTGAACGTCAGAAAAATCAATGTTTTGTGTAGTGTGTAACGACCCTCCATGGTCTCTACACTTAGTGGAATCGCACTACTGCTAGTGAACTAAGAGAAATATTAAGTTGGATAAATCATACATAAAGGTATAAATAAGAATAAAAATAACTAAGTTTCTTAAATATAAAATAGAACTCCATATATGTACAGTAATCCCAAAAATAATATTCCCTAGTGTCAGTCAAGCACAGACAAAATCGGTACCCAAAATGGTAACTCTAACATGAGGATCAAACTCCTCGTCTCGCAGCGGTCACCTTAACTCCAAGCTAGCCCTGACCTGCTCCCATACAAGGTATGATCATCGCAGTCCATCCACATGGAAACAGAAGGGTAAACTAGAGTTCAAAAAACAATCATACAAGTATAGAACAAAATCTATACTACACATCGTCCAACTATCAATCATGTTCATAGAGTCACACCATACACTCTATCCAGTACTACTCATGCATAAAATACAATCTACCAATCATGAAGTCAAACACCATACTTCATCATATTAATAATCATGCAAGAAATGCATCTTATGATAGATATCAATACATATCAATCATCTAATGCGTCGTCACGCATACACCTAGGAGATCTCCCTAACAATAGAGTTGTATAAGTGACATTCCATCCTACCGAAACCATCCCAACCATTTTCATGCCCAATACGTCCGCTCGGTCACAGCTAAACAGGATAT